CCTAAAAACCAATATTTATAATGAATTTTAATTATTTTTTCGAATCTTTTTTAAGCTTTATTCTGACCGATTCACCCGATTCCCGATCCGGATCGCCGATTCACCAATCCGGATCTGTTTTTGGAAGCCGGATCCGAGTCACCGATCTGTTTTTTAAACCATTGATAGGAACCATTTACTTTTAATCTATGTTTTATATATCATTTTTTAAATTTTTTGGACTTTTTTTTTGTTACTTTCGGCTTTGTTTCACTTTTAAATGTGTATTTTATAGTTAGGCAACTCTTTTAACTTCTTTTTGATATTGCAGAAGCCCTGTAATCACCTGACGGACTCGGCCGTGCTTCTCGCCTGAGGGCCACGAGTTAAGATGTTTTATCAAATGATGGAGCAATGAGTGATTGACCAAAGTCCTCAGGCTTTCCGTTTCAATGATTTTGTAAACTAAATTTAAGCTTTCAACCATGATTTGAGATTTCATTTTCTATATATATACTTTTCCTTATCTATAACTGGTTTTTGTCTCTCTTTCATACCTCATATCTCCCATTAGTAGGGTTCAGATTTTAACCATGTTTAATTGGGTTTAATTGGTTAGCGCTTGATGATTTTACAACGTTACATCCTATGCTCAGTTACTACAAAAGAGTAGGGGCATTCTCCCCACTACCTCACCCAAAAAAAAAGAAGAAAAAGATCGGCATTGTAAATTATCCCGAGCGAACTAGATAGGCGATTCTGCTTACTAATTATGAATTTCAAATTATATCAAAATACCATTTTATTCTAAAAATATTAAAAAATAAAAAATATATTAGCCAGTAATCAGGTGATTTGGTCCATCTTGATTAACCCATGCTGTGGTAAAGGTTTCTTGACAGACTCACATAGACAAAACTGGGGGAGCCCCTCTAAATCAGATCAATTCATAGTCTTGGTAAAGAACTTTGGTCAGTCAACCCACTAATCCTTGTTTGGATCATTAGTTTCGAATGCAATTTCTTTAGGGAAAGCCTTCTATATTCTCTCTATACCAAAGAAGTTCTATGTTCCTCCTACCATCCGACTGTCCATTTTTTATCAAGAGAGCTACTCATCGTTTGATCTTAGATCCAATGTCTCAAAGTATTTTATTTTTAGTTTTTTTAATACAATTTTTCTGAATATGAAATTTGATATGTGCTATCTTCTCATTGAGGGGCATCCATAAAAAATATTACCAATATTTTTTTGATAAAAATGACCAAAATACCCCTTGAAACTTTCAAGGGTATTTATTTTTTCTATGTCAGACTAAACACAAATTTTAGTCTCATAATAGTGCAATAGTAAAATAAAAATAAAAATATGTAATTAATTTATAAATAACCAAATTATTCCTGTAAATTTCAAAAGCTTTACGGTATTTTGGTCATTTTTCTGATAAATATATGTTTGATATTTTACAAATGTGAGATATTGATAGCTATTTCCCGAATTTGACTTTTGTAGAAAACAAAATTAAATGTAATATAAACTCTTTCCGCCGCCAGGCGTAAGCATAAAACATAAAAAATATGAAATCAACCTATCAAAAACAAGTAAAGCGTCATCTTAAATTTCATCGAAAATTATAATTCTGGTGTTAGAAAATCATTAAATCTATCATCTTGGTCTTGATCATTATAGTTGTAAAAACAAATTAAGACTTCAAGCCCTAAAAAGAATATATATTATAAAAACTTATCTAAAACATTCATTTCACCCTAAGAATAAGCGTTTATAGATCCATGAGACCTATTATTTTTTTAGCTTCAAATTTCATAGTTCATGCTGGAAATTACTTTTAGAACCCATCTTGGATATTTGTGATGCTCAAATAAATTTGTTTAGAACGAGGATTTGAAATGTGGGTTTACTTTGTTTTCATAAAACCTATACCTTATAAAAACTGCATCCTAGACAAAATTATTTTTAAATAACTTCAAATTTTTAATAATATCATAGAAATTTTGTAAATCATCATGAGATTCTGATGCTCAAATACGAGAATAGCCCCTTACCGTCCATCCACCACGCAGCTCACCAAAGCCACCAGACAGAGAGGGCAATTTCGTCTTCACCAGAGAACGTTCTAGAAAATCATCAAGACAATCGAAATTTCGGAAAACCTCCATTTCCGAAATATAGGAGAAAATCCAACGAAAATTGCGGACCCCATCGTCAGTATTCAGTAAAACAGGCTTGGGCCCCTAATAAATGACTGAAAATGACGGATGGGCCCCGCGGCGGGGGCAGGAAACTTCCCGGCCCTATCGGGAGCGGTCCCCAGCAATACGTACATCGTATAAATGCGGTTCATATCCGTACTCCTAGGGGAAACGCCACTTATACAGACAAGCCGTATAAACATACGGTCCCTCTGTCTCTGAGACGACAGTTTCAGATAGAGAGAAGTAACAGGAGAGAGAAAGCAACAGAGAGGAGAGAAAAAAGTACGGGTGAGAATGTACCCCGGTAGCATAGAATCATAGATATTCAAGTGACCCGGCACTAAAAAAAAATGGGGCTTTTGCCACAAAGTCCTCATTGTAAGCCTGGCCAGGCCACCCCACCCCAACCCACCCACCCAAAGGGCAGGCTGAGTTAGGGTATAATAACGCTAGCATGCTTAGGGGTGGCAGCCAATCGCGTACGCGACACGGGCCCGAATGGCTGGACTTGAATTTTTGATTTAAAATTTGGACATGTACCTAGACCTGTCTAGTCTTGGGTTCACATGTCGGGTCTTGGATCTATTGTTACTACCATCTTATTTTACCATCATACACCTTACGGGTTTGCTTTTTTTCTTTTACCAATAATATTTAAAGATACATTATTGCCATTATATACTTTAATGACTATAAGAATAGGTCGGGTCTGGCTCGATCCCAACTTGGACTTAAATAGTATTTGATCCAAAATTTAGACTCATACCAAGACTTGAAGTCGGGTATACCGGTCGGTTCCTGGCTCTAGTTAAGTCGTTTGCCACCCCTATTGGCACTCTTTTTTTAATGATTTATTTTCCTTTATTACCGAGGCTGGCTTGGTTTGGCTTTCATAGGACTAGGACAGATGTGGCATTTTTGGTTTATCCGGGCCGGCGCAGGCCCGATCCAGAGCTTGGTACTAATACCGAGCTGTGGCTAAGACCGCCTCAACCCATTGCCAACCGTAGGAGAAAGTAAGACCTAGGAGAGACGCGAGAGCAACAGGGGTATTTAATGCTTGTTCCTCATCTCCTTTTGTTGAACCCAAAACCACCAGTGGATGCTAACGATACGTTGCTTTCACGTCGTATTGCTTGCATCGCAAGGGGCCCGATCGGCGGTCCAGATGTCTCGGACGCTCCACTCCCTTAATCCTGGCCGTCCGTCATTAGAACAGGTGAGATTCATGGCACGTATGGGAGACAGGTTCTGGTAAAACGTGAAACTGACGGCCATGGCTGATATAGAGGTCCCGCCCTTTATCAGTCTCTCGCTTGTATTATAAGCCTCCTTTCCAGGCCTTGGGTTTTTGGCCGGAATTTGCAGAAATAGTCGATTAACGGGAGGTATTGCAGAGAAATTGGCCGTAAATTAGGGCTATCGGAAAGTTTTCGCCGGATTTCTGCTACATTCCGCTTCGGATTGGCCGGGAAAAGCAGGGAATAGTACTGAAAAGCAGGGAAAAGTACTTTTGGAGAATTACGGTTGAATTCTGGTCAGACTCTGAGTGAAAACACAGTGCACATTGTCCTAGAAAGGGCTGTTTTATGGAGAATTTCAGTTGAGTTAAACAAGAGCAACTGAATAGTAAATGGAGTGAGCTAGGGTTTACGGCATAATTCACAGGAAAATTAGTTTTACACAAAATTGTGTCCGGCCATTATATACCAGTGTGTCATTTTAGTTCATTGAACAAAAGACACAGCAAAATTGTGAATATTAGAGCAAAATAATCCTTGTAATGGTGCTCTAGTCACACTCGTCTGTTAAATGCTCAAACCCTAGCTAGAGTTGAAGGCATTTCTCACCGGAATTCGATCGCAAAATTATTTCCGGTGCCTGTTAAAGTTAAAGCCGTTTATGGATTCATTGCCTGAATCCTCGACGTCCATTCCCTTTGCTCAAGGAGTTTCAGAGCCCTTCCACTTTGGAGAAGAAATACGAGGATTTTCGAGCGAGAATCATCTTGATAGCAGCTCCTTTACTGCTCTTTTAGGGCTTCAATCAAGCGAAGCTCTAGTACTACTGCACCCACCAATTTCCGGGCAAAATATCAGTGGAAAAGGAAATTCCGGCCAAAACTACTCCACTGTACTAAATCACGGCGAAGTTTCAACCACTTTGCCGGCTAACGCCAGCCTTGTGGAGAGGGCCGCCAAGTACTCGGTATTTGCAACTAAGGCCGAGTCGGATATAGCTCCGGGAAGTTTCTCCATCGAATCGAATTCCGGCGATACGTCGGGAAAGTTCGCTGGAGATTCCGACTCCCAATCAAAAGAGGGATCGTATGTTGCCGTTGACGATCGGACGGTGACGATTTGCTCGAGGGAGAAGCAGACGATGAAGAGGAAAGAGGCGGACCAGCTCAAGGTAAAAAATTTGGATCGACTACGTGTTCTTCAATTTTGTCTTTTCGGGTAACATTTGGTAAAGAAAAACTGTTTCATGCGGGCTGGGCCGCATTTTTACATATGCGGCCAATAAAGTATAAGGCCTTAAAGATAGATGTAATTAGGTGTTCCATCTAAAAACAATAGAAACTAACGGTAAAACTGTTTTTTTTTTTACTAAAATTATTATTTTTAGCTTTTAAAATTTACTTTTTTTTTCATATTAAAGATTGCACGTCTTTAAAATTAAGTCTTAAAATCTATCTCAAAAATAGATTTATTAGGAGACTCACATTTCCACATATGCAGGCATGGCCGCAGAAAAACTGGGTACCTTGGTAAATTGACGATAACAACCACTCTTTATTGTTAGAACTAGCTAGACAAGAGGAAGACCAATGCTCTTTTCCTTGCATGTGTGACAATTTTGCCCTCGTTTGTGTTTTCTCATAAGAGAGCAAAAGTAATTTTAGGTTGAGTTAGGAGTTCAATAGGGGAAATTAATAGAAGGAAGATAAGTGAAGTTTATGCTGGAAATCAATCATCATTGTTATCATTTGAGTCTTATGGAATTTGAGAATTAGAAACGCATATCTCAATTAACTATACATGTAGACGTATTTTTGTTTTTATTTGAGCCTAGTTAATTCCTCATTGAGAGTTTAGTCTTTGATAGAGCAGAATAATGGATTAAGATTTGTATAGACGATCTTAAATAGTTGGAAAAAAAACTTTGATGATGATAATGATGTTTTAACTTCGATGATGATGATTTGAGCGTAATTAATTGTAGGGGTTTCTATGATAAATTGGAAATGTTGTAGATATTTCATTTTATAGAAATTAATCAAAATGCTTATCAGATTTTTCAACTGTTTACCATTTTAACTTTTTATTCTAGGTATTGTCTACAAAGAGACCATTTACTTTTGAAAAAAGTTTATATAGAGCCGAGACTCTAAACAATCAAATTAGAGCCCACCTCAAAAATTTCATTCGAAGAGGTTGTTTTGATACCCAAATATCTTCAAATTGAGCACCTCGTCTTCAATATGCATGGAAATGAGAAAGAAATGGATTTCAAGTTTTGGAAATAGTGCATCTTGTAATGCATTTTATGACTTTCAATTTTCAAGATTTTCAAGTTTTCATAGATTTTCTTGATCTACACTATTTTTGAAGCTTTAAATTTTATAATTAAATATGAAAATATATTTTAAGGCTATCACAAAGATTTTCAGTACTGAAACAACATTTCTCGATGCTATTTAAAGGTGAACTTTACTTTGATTGTTTAGAGCCTCGGCTCTATATAAACCGGACCCTTTATCTTTTATATATAGAGGTTACACTCATCCTCTCATTAGGAGTGGGTTGAATTACGAAATCCGAGATTTTCTTTTTGGAACTTTGACTCTATTCAAGGGACAAGAATGATTGTGACGTCCGTATACAAAAGATAAATAGTCTCTTTGTAGACAATCCATTTCTAACTCAAAATCATATGTAATTTTATGGGTATTTGAAAATTAAATAAAAATGTAAAAAGGGCGTGGTTTCTATAAGGTTGCAACCTTAAACAATTCAATTACGACACACCTCCAGATTTTATTATAACATGTAATTTTGGTGTAAAATATTCTTAGGATTATTTGAAAATCTATTTTCATATGTAATTATAAAATTTAAAATTCCAAAAATAGTTAAAATCAAGCAAATCTATAAACATATAAAAAATCTTGAAAATGGGTGGTCTAGATAATGTGCTGCAAGATGCACTAGTTCTGAGAATCATAATCTTTTTTTATTCATATACATAGGGTTTTTCAACAATGAAACAACATTTTTTGATGGATTTTTGAGGTGCATCTTTAATTCTACATTTTAAGGTTGCAACCTTGTATAAACTTTTCCTATATAAAAATAAATATTAAATGGCTTTGAAAAAAAACTTCCCCGAATGAGTTTATCTTAGGTGTATTCTGACAGCCCAAGTGTATAGTATACACTGTACAAGAATAGGGCCGTCTATCCACCATTAATTTATTTTAAGAGTAATGATCTTATAAGACCTTCCCACATTTATGTATATAGGATTTTTTATAGAGATATGTGTCAAATTTAATAGTGATCTTTTGAGGTCTTATACATATAGGTGTGGACGGTCTTATAAGTTCGTTTGATGGACAATATAATTTGATACTTTACACGATGACCTTTATGTATCTAATTTGAAAAGATATAATTGAATTTTTATCTATTAAGGTATCGCATATGTCATATCAACAAAATATTGTGGCATTTTAGTCAATTGTTTTTAACTCTTAGTAGAATACCACAATCCGTATGGGCCACAAATTTCCCTCAGCGTGTGGCCATTCATTGAGGAAAGCTGGTCACCTTTCTGTCAAATGTGATAATTTTGCCCTTCCACGGGCCGCCAAGTTTCAAATATTTTCAAATTTTAGCATATCTTGAGTTGAAGTTTCCTTTCCGCGCCGACGGGCCTAAATAATTTGTAGCCGTTGTACTCTCCATTACGACCTAGAATCCATATATATATATATGGTTTGACCTCGTTTTCCAAAATAACCCTCTGTCAGTAATTTGGTTCTCTTATTTCAAAAGTTCAGAACTCTAATTAGCATTTACCCAAAAAAAAAAAAAGGAACTGATTAGTAAAAAATTTCGGAAAGCATGCATTAATTTCTTCGGGTATGTTTGAAACTTTGAACCGATATCTCATCGAACTTCTAAAGAATTTGAACTGAAAATTTAGTAAATTTTTATGGACAGCTATCAAGACTAACTATTCAACAACTTAGATCCCTCATCCGGAAAAGCGGTCTGGAGCGATCCAGCCGAGTGAACCGGCCCCATTAAAAAAGCAAGAAATGAAAACAAAAAATTGAAAAAAAAAGAAAATAAAAGATGGACCCGATTTTGGCCCTACCTTGCTAGAAACATGCCCGTTCCCAATGTTTCGAGGGAAGCGGACCAATCACTTCCCAATATTTTGAGGGACCATATCAGCCCTACCAATTACCAATTTGGATCGACCTGTTCCGATCCAAATTGTAAGCTTTTTGAACAATGTTATTTATTTAACAACTTATCATTTTAATTTCATTTAATTTAAAAAAACATACCTAAAACCACGAATAATAAGTTACGATTTTAGTTTGGGATAAGGTGCCCGACTTATCCTATAGAAGTTTGGGACACCTCTAAATTTTGCAAGAAGATGTAGTTATGGCGTCGAAGACTTTATGATGATTGGAAAACCATGTCTAACTCTGATTGTTAAATTGAAAATGTCAAAGCGGCACCAGTCAAGCAGATATATAAATACTTGAAAATCTTAAGAATAAATAATTGAGATAACTCGCGATACAAGATGCACCATTTTTAGATTTTGAAATTATTTTTTTGCGTCCATACATCTCGAGTTTGAAATAATCAATTGGATGGTTCTCTAATTTCAAAACATTATTTTCTACTGAATTCTTGATGTGCACTTTAAACTTTCCTTTTAATTTTATTTGGAAAATTCACGTTTTTTATTTTTTTTAGGCATTTGAGCGGTTGTTGCAGGTAAAAGCTGGCACAAAGAAGAGCAAGGGAGATGTGGAGAACGGACGCGGGGCTGGTTCGGATGAGAACGTGACCAGGTCACCAGAGAAGCCCGCTTACGTTCATGTCCGGGCTCGCCGCGGCCAAGCAACGGACAGTCATAGCTTGGCAGAAAGAGTGAGCATACAAAACACAAATGCACACACACAATGTACTTCTAACGCAGTTCCCCTCTTTCTATTTTCTATTTTTCAGTGAAATGTACGATTCTATCACGGCTTTCAAACAAATATTACATAAGTGCCACCGGTTTGAGGAAAGGAAGGATAGGGGGGTCGTTTTCGCTATAAATGTTCCGATATTCCTAATTTCAATTGCTTTGAATTTCTTTAAAGAAAATTTTCTCCAAAATTCCTCTATTTTATACCACTACTTTATCCGAAACTTCAATATGCGTACCCAAGAGGAATTTAAAAACTTTAAACAATCAGAGAGATGCGCATCTCTTTCCAAAAATGCTTTTTTAGTGTTCAAAATATTAAGATAGATTCTGAAAATTTATTTCAATCTCTAGATATGGGACCAGGTTTTTATGAGATGGATTGTGGATTTAAAATTGAGTAAGGATCTATGAGATCCTTCCACATCCGTGTGTTTAGAATTTCAAATGGTCATTATTAAATTGACACATCTCTAAAAAAGTCAAGTTTTACACCAATGTGATTATTTTTTTAGATGTCTGTACCAAATTTAAAGGTGATATCCTCTTGGTCCTACACACATTGGTGCGGAAAGATCTCATAGGATCATTACTCTTTAAAAATTTTAAGTATGTATAATTTTTAATATAGGAATCACTAATATAAAAAACACATTTTAAAAATTAAAAATGATAATTTTTTGAGAACATTTTTTAAATAGTTGATAATGAATATTTTGGAGTGACCACCTATATCCATCTCCAAGATGGATATGTGATGCTGGGGGATGAAAATAGTTATGCCTCTCTTGACTCATAAAACACTTTTTTTAAAATATAAATTCTTAAGCCTCCAAAATAGTACAAATTGAACAAATCTATAAATATTTAAAAATCTTGAAACTAAATGATCATCGTAATATATAGCACGATGTACTGTTTTTTTTTTGTACTGTTCTTTTTTTTTTTTTATGTCTATGCATCTAAAAGTCAAGATAATCAATTAGAGGGTCTTCAAATTTGTTAACAACATTTTCGGGTAGGTTTCTAAGGTGCATTTTACTTTTATAATATAAAATAGATGCCCTATATGGAACTTTTACATTTAAAAGTTTTGGGGTTGTTTGCCGGTCTCTAAGAAGTACCTTTGCAATTTCCAAGAATTCTAAAATTCAATTTCAAGTAGGGCGCAATTAGTGTGTATAGACGACTTCATTGTGGACGCAAAAATCACGAACATTATTGTTATTTTGCAGGCGAGGAGAGAGAAAATCAATGCCAGAATGAAACTCCTGCAAGAACTGGTTCCTGGTTGCAATAAGGTCCGTTTTTCTTGCCTTAAAATAACAATTTACTTTCTGCATTTCCATTTCTCAATGCTAAAATAGCCAAATTATTGCTATATTTTCAGAATCCACCTTATCGAAGTTTACATTTCAAAACTTGGTCGAGCTACTCGGCCTCGAGTACCCTACCCATGTGACTTCTGGTGACAAAATCGGGTTTACTAAAACGTCCTGAAAAAGTAAAAATTTTCTATGAACTGACTAATAAATGATGCATACATATGTTTTTATATAATTTTTATATTTTTTTTGCTGATTTGTATATGCTCTATTTTTTTTTTCCTTTTTTTTTTTTGAATTTTTTCAATTGTTTCAAGCTATACATCAATTGTTTTCCTATTCTATCATCTATATACTTTTTTTATTTTTTTAGACTTTTTATTCATTTTGTAACTTATTTAGCTCTTATAATATTTTTATTCATTACACGTTTTTTACGTTTTCTTTCCTTTTTTGCAACTTGTAGTCCTTTTGAACTTGTATAGGACTCGGGTAAGTCCAATCCTAAGTTATCCAACTCGGGGATAGGCCAAATACCGAGTGAGAACCGAATCCAAGTTCGAACTGAGTAATTGAACATTTTTTAATAATTAAAATTATAATTTTGTAAAAAAAATAAAAAATTATGACCTCTCTATGAAACCCGAAATCCTGCAACACAGCCACACCCAGTTATGCCACCTTTAACTATTCATCGTTTGAGACTAAAGTTAAACGGGATTGCAGATTTCTGGGACGGCTTTGGTTCTGGACGAGATCATCAATCATGTTCAATACCTCCAGCGCCAAGTGGAAGTAAGTCAAAAACAAAAATGAAAAAGGCATTAAGTTTTTTTTCCTTCTGTGTTCTTAGAGAAAATAGGATATTTCTTACACCACTCTTAAGAATCAAGGAACAAATTTATAATTTTATCAACAAAGTGGATACACAATCATCATTGATCGTTAGATTTGAAATCAGGTGATTGAGGATGTCTTATTGTTTGGGTATAAAGTCAATAATTAAATTTCTCGAATTCTTGTGATACACTTTCATTTATTGAATTTCACATCCAATTGTTAAAAATGAATGTGACATTCTTGTACAAAAATAAATAACGCCGTAGTATACAATGCTTTAGATGTTGGATTAGATGGCTTGAGGTACAACACAAAGTTCGATAAATTTTTTTTTTGAAATTTGAGTTTAATCAATAACTCACTTACAACCACCTAATTTAAAAACCCCCATTAGAGATTTTTTTTCATTATTTTTAAAATACCCAAATTGTCGAGGGCATAAGTAATTTAATTCACTTGCATACTTGTTCCATAATCCAAACGTGGAACATGTTATTTTTTTTAAATTAAACTTATTTTGAGTTTGAAACACTGGAGTAAGTGGGGCATTTTTGTAATTTAGCCTCACTTTAGCCATGCAAGTCAAAAGATGCAAATACTTGTGCTTGGGCTAGCCTTGTTCAACATTGACCTAAAATAGAACCGACGTCGACCCAGAATAATAGAAGTTTAGAGGGTAATTTAATTCGAGTGGAAGGCTCTAAAAAGACATGGATGGAATGAGTGAGAAGAGATATGTTGACTTATGATCAAACTAAAGGCAAGGGGCATCAATAGAGCAGAATAGCGAAACATGATTCATATAGCTAATATCAATTACTTGGGATAAAGGTTGATGATGATGATCATATACCTAGTAAGGGGAATTTCAAGGAGTCAATCTACACTAAGATCTATTTAAAAACTGAATTTGATCTTAAAAGTCCCACAGGAATCTTGGCTTGTCCTTTTTAAAGACAAGGAATTTTGAGCTCAAAATCAATACATTTTTGACATTTATGGGATACAAATAGAAATCGTTTTAAGAACGTCTTTAGGTCACAAAACCTCCGGTAGCTTGGTGTTTATGTTGAGGGACACCATTTCAATGATGGAAAGTTGAAGTTACTTTGCGTTAGATTTTTTAATGGGTAAGCTTTCAATATTCTTTAAGGAAAAGTATATAATGAGAACATTTACTTTTGGTATAAGGTAGTCACAATTTATCTTGACTATTGGATGTGAAATTGAATGGTTGCATTTATTCTATTTGACCAACCACAAACTTCAAAATAAATTTTCTCTAACTTTGTGATAAGCCCAAGCTATTAGATTTGAAATCAGATAGTTATAAATAATTGTGATCTCTTTGTATCAAAAGTAAATAGTTTCATTGTATACATTTCCTTTTCAATAAAATAAAATGACCAAAATACCTTTGAAACTTTCAAGGGTATTTTGGTCATTCTATTTTATCAAGAATATTGTTTTTATACTTTTTGCAAGTGCAAGTTTAAGAGATGAATCGATGCCAACTTGGTGTTAAAATATTTTTTAGGAAATTTTTTAAAATAAAATAGTATAATAGCATGACTTTGTAATTAGATTCATCTAACCGCTCATTCAGATCTGACGGCTAGATAAAGAGAAGTATATAACTACCATACATTAAAGGAGGGGATTGTATACGAAAAGTATAAAAACAATATTCCCGATAAAATAGAATAACCAAAATGCCCTTGAAAGTTTTGAAGGGTATTTTGGTCATTTTATTTTATTGAAAATATTTTTTTATTTTTTTTAGGTGCATCCTATTGAGATGATGGCACATATCAAATTTCATATTCATATAATTTGTAGAATAAAAATTAAAAATAAAATACTTCGAAGCATCATATCTAAATCAAATTGTCGATGGCTTATTTGATCTAAATTGGACGGACGGCTAGATGATGGGGATGTATAGTAACTTCTATACAATAGGGGAAGTATAGAAACCTTGCCCTATTTTTTTTTATATATATGTTATTAGATTTTGCTTCAGCCTTTGTTCTTATTCCATTTCAATTATCAACAATTGCAGTTTTTGTCAATGAGGCTCGCTGCTGTTCACCCAAGGGTGGTAGACTTTAACTTCGACAGCTTCCTCTCCTCCGAGGTACAAATGATTCTACCAAGTTTCTTTTTCCCATTTTGCCCAGGCTCTCCAATACTCGAAGACTATGGTAAAAAAACAAAAGATACTTAAACGTTAATTATCTTTTCATGAAATGTTATGTTTGACTGAATTGGAAAAGATATCCAAGAACAATAGTACAATACGAATGTTTCGGAAATTAGCAAAGAAAGAAGAAAAGAGAAGTTTATCAAAATACCTATAAGAGAAGAACTATTCAACATATTTCTTATTTGCTACAATTCCAATTCAAGATCATATGTTTTTAATTAGTATTTTGAAATTATGTCAAATGGTACAATGCTAAACTGCTGATCTTTTACGAGTGTTTTGAAAAATTTTCCGAAAAAAGTTGCTTATGATACACTCACGCACACAACCACGAGGAGGTACTCTTAAATCCTATAAATCCATCTTAACTTTATATTTCATGATAAGTTCTGGTGTAGACAATAATTCCTCTGATATCCTAGTAAAATAAATTCATGTCTTTTCGTTATTGTTGCAATGAAAAACTTCATGAAATAACATGTATGAAATCTACAAGCAAAATTAGCCATTTGAAAATCTCAACAATTTGAAAAAAGTTGATAATGGGTAAGGGCTATTGAGTAAATAATGATTTTTTATCTTTTAAGTTTCTATATATATATATATATATATATATATATATATATATATTACGTAATTATCAACTTTATAATTTCATTTTTTACTACTATATTTACTAATGATAAATAAAAATTGTTTTGTTGTTTTGATAAAACAAAGTCCCATTAATTATCTCATAAATTTCTATTAGAAAAAGCCAAACTCTATAACACCCTGATAAAATTCCCCACAAATAACATCCTGATCGCGATAATCATGACTATAGTAAAAGGCTCCTTTTTGTAGAAACATTTATCAAGATACCTGTAAGAGATGAATTATTTAACACTTAGCCATGTAGTTTGATTTAATTTTTAAATACTCATCAAAATACAATTGATCATGAGTTGAAATAATTACAAATGTGTAAAATACTAAGTAATAAATATTTTATAAGTCGTTTAATAGATTCCCCCTTCTTTTTTATTGAAGTTAACTCATATTTTGAAGACATCCTCAACCTTCCATAACAAACTATTGAAATATTTGGCGTGTATTGAATAATAGAAAAAACAAAGTGGGCTTTCAATTCCTTTTAAGATTCCCCTTATTTTGCCATTTCACTCGTAAGGGGCTGTTTGGATTACTCTTAGTAAGGATTGGTCCTTTAAGCCTTTTCAGCCATTTTCTTTGGGTTTAACGGCGAGTAACGGCGTCATGGCGGCGAGGGCGGAAGAACCAGCGTGGTCTCCTGTCCAAGTTAACGGAGTTCAACGGCCATGGCCAACTGCCACGTGTGCAAATCAGTACGAAGGGACCCACTCTTTCTCCGTTCCCCAAAACCCTCCTCCGTCTTTGGCAAATTCAGGTAAGCCACTGCTCTCGATGAATGAAATGCCCAGATGTATGTAGCTTAAGGTCTATTCCAAACATTTAAACCATCGATTCTTCTTTTGGTTATTTTGTGATTCCAATGACTTGCGGGTGGACCATAATTATCAAAACCGGACTACATTGGCAATCGGACCAGGTGGACTGACGATGGTGTCTTTGGTACGAAGTAGAAATCGAATTTGGTAAAAAACTTGTCAAACTTAGTATCTGACTGTTTTGGCGAGTCTGACTTCTCAGACTAGTTTGACCAACCAAATAAAATCGACAATTTTTTTTTAATAGATTACATTTTTTAACTGCATTCATAATTTTTAATGTTTTAAAACTTTTTTGAAACTAGTTGAGCCAGCCAATGAAACGGTTTTAACTGGATTAGATCATTCACCAGTTTCGATGATCGATCCAATCCTAATAACTCTAGGTTGAAACTATGGCCAAGACATTTGGGGGTTCATCGGCCAGGTGCCTAGGGATGATTAAAACAACTACATACTTATTTTCGAAATGCAAAATGCTATAACTATGAAGTTCTAGAATTGCCAATCCCAATTGGAGTCAATGACAACCAATTCGGCTCCTTACTAGAAAAGGGCATCGGTCCGATTTTAGTGTTCGAATCACCTACTCCTCCCTCAATTTACAATTTTATTTTTAAAATTTTTAATTATATTAAAACAAAAATATTTTAATATTCTTCATATCAGCTATCAGCTATGAGAATCACCAATCTAGATCGGTCAATTAGTTAGTTGTTTTACCAGGTGAATCGGGGGGGTTTTAAATACTGACTAAAACTAAAGTTTTTCCTTATAAATGTTGACTTTCCTTTTCTTTTTCCATGTTTTCTGATTTTCAGGCACCCCTTCATTGCGACCCAACCAGTTGAAAATGGAGCTCTGAAGGCTGGCGCACCGAGCTCCAATAATGTATATACATATGTATTATGGAGACATAGGTGCAGTATTAGATGATTAGTCTAATTATTCTAGGGTCTCAGTACGCAGAGTTTTAGAGAGAAAAACCCAGCTTTTATTTTGGGAGAGAAGTTACCAATCTCTAACACTGTCTAATTTATTCTCGTGGCTACTAAATATTCTTATATTTGACTGGTTTTTAATGGAATTTGTCAGGATTTCGGATTTATTAATGTGTGCAGGAGAAGTGAAGTAAAACCGTGACTATGGAATCTTAAACGGATAAATGTGAGGGAATGGTTGAGGCAAACTTTACCAAAGCAAAATTACTTTTTTATTAATTTATTATTATTATTATTATTATTATTTAAAAAAATATCATTAAAAAGATACAGGGATTTATAATCTCACTAGAAGTATGATTTTTGATAGAATAGAGTGACGAATCATGATTTGTATAGCTAACTTCAAATAATTAAAAATAATGGTTATGACCTTGATTTAAAAAATATAAAAAAATAAAATAAATCCAAAGATTGATAATTGTCTATATCAATCAAGTACATATTAAAAAAAAATTGATAATTTTCTATATTGCCCTTGTTCGATAATTTTCATCCTTTGGCATGGACAAGACACTGGGCCAAATGGCGAGATTACCCTGATTTGTTCAGCATTAGGAAGATAGAACGCATTCTTTGAGTAACTAAACCCAAAAAAAATGGGGGGTAACTTTATCATGTCGTGAGAGTCATGTGGCTCAAGCGAAATTACTTTTGCGCTGGAGTTGTACGCTTTTAGAAACGCGGAACAATATCCCTTTCATTAAAATACATGCCCAATTTTTCTAATACTGAATTTTGTGGGACAAGATAATCTTTTTGTTTAATCTAGTTGCCCCGAGTAAAATGACCATTTTAGCATTAATTGTAGAAATGAAATAATGAAAAAAAAAAATTGAAAATAGGAAAAAGTTGGGGTTACCCTACTAGTTTATATGAACATATGAGTTCAACGGTCCAGATTGAATTTAGGCCGATCTGACGATCACAAATGTCCGGTAGTGTTTGAATTTTTTTTTTTTCTACAAATCTAAATCATTTGAAATTTTATCAAAATAGATGAATCGTTGAAAAATATCAAAAAAATATTTTATATGAAATAAATTGATCAAAATACCCTCGAAAAGTTTTGAAGGGTATTTTGGTCATTTTACTTTTTACAAATAATTTTTTTATAGTTTTGTTAGGTGCGCCTTGATGAGAAAAACACATATCTAAAATTTGAAGTGATTTGTATTTATAGAAAAAAAAAAAACTTCAAGCACTATCGGACTTTTATGATGGTTAGATCGGCTCATATTCAATCTAAATCGTTGGATTCGTATCTTTCTATAAACTAATGAGGTAATCCCACCTTTTTTTTTAAAAAAAAAAAATAACGCCATTACCTTACCATTCCAAATTACAAAAATGGCCTCCGTATCCTTGTTACTAAAGGGTGGGTGATAACCTCATCGTGATAAAGTTATCATAAAGTTATCATGATCATGCGGATCATATTGTGTTGTCCCGATTATATGTAGTGGCAGACAACGAAGTCACTGCGCAATCCAGCAATCAGAGCCGCCGCCATTAAATATATATATCTCTCTCTCTACTTGGAAGAAGATAAAAAGGCAACTTGTTTGCACGATACACAACTCCCAAGTTCCAACCAAGATATAGTCAGGCTGCGCCACCTTTGTTTGCGCCTCAAACCATCGCATATGGATTACAATGTTCTCCTGCATGAGCAAACTATGCACTTACTCTATCAGGTAAGTATTAGTTAAGAGTGTTTTCTGTCTGGAATTTTGAAATCCACTTTAAAGAATCACGATGAGTATTTTCATTGTAAGTAAATATAATTCTAGTTTTAAGACACCTTGATCTGGTTAATTTTAGAAAGTTAATTTTTTTAGGCACACAGGAAATGTGTACGGTTTTTCTCTTTTCTCCTTTTCTTTATTGGGATCGTCTGCTGAAACGAGGAGGTGACAACTCCAAACCAAATGGAGTCTTAATCATAAAAGTCCTAGATAGGGTTTGACTCATGGTTAGTAGGATCAAACAGGTCATTAAACCAATGAAGAGTTTGGTCTAGTTAAAATTGGTCCAATCGCTAGTCGAACTAGTTGAATTGAATTTTAAGAAAAAAAAAAAAATTTGATATAATAGTTTAAAAATATTTTAAAAATTACAAACCCTATTTAGATGGTCAAAACTGATAAAAACTAGCTAGGTTTGACCAGCCAAAATCAATTAAATAATAGTTTGACAATTTTTCGACCAAATCCAATTTTTTTTTAAAAAAAACAAAATTTGATATAATAGTTTAAAAACATTTTAAAAAATTACAAACCCTATTCAGATGGTCAAAACTGATAAAAACTAACTAGGTTTGACCAGCCGAAACCAATTAAATATTAATTTGACCATTTTTTGACCAAAGCCAATTTTTAACTTGAACCATATTTGCTAAAGAACCAGTCCAATGTTGATTGATAACTGTAGTTTTACCACGAGGGAGCACATAATTGTGGGAGCATATAATCATTTGACTATAATATACTAATATGGGTTATCCTACATCATTACTTAGCAACTACATAAACATCACCGCCGCGCATTCTTTCAATTAACGCATCACCGGTGTATAAAAAGCTCCCCTACTCATGTCATTCTCACCATACCCCGGCTGCAATCTCTTTCTCTCTCTCTCAAATGGGTGGACCACAACCAAGTTTCTTCATCATGGCCATGGCCATAGCCACAATTACAACCCTAAACTTTCATCTCTCTAAAGGATATGAGACAAACAACCAAATGATCCAGCAATTCCTGGAGGTCCAAAACCAGGCAAGAAAAGAGGTAGATATCCCACCCTTAAAATGGGATCCAAAGCTGGCCACTTATGCTAGGGCTTACTCCAACCAAAGGAGAGGAGATTGTAACCTGGTCCACTCTAGTGGTCCCTTTGGTGAAAACATATTCTGGGGTCAGGGTAATAAATGGAGTGTGAGAGATGCTGTGGCCCAATGGGTTCAAGAGGGGGTCAATTATCACCATGAGAGTAACTTGTGCTCCAGCCAAGACTGCACCCACTACACCCAAATAGTGTGGAGGACCACCAAAAATGTTGGGTGTGCAAAAGTCATATGCAACAGTGGGGACACCTTCATCACATGCGAGTATTACCCTCATGGAAATTACGTGGGTGCTAGGCCGTACTAAACATGTGCGGCCTCCTTTGCTTTGTTTCTTTTATGCTTTATTTGTGGTCCTTGTTGTTTTCCTTTTCCTTCTTTTTTTATGTTGTAATTGATTGATCGTGTATTCTATTCTTTTAATTTGTAAAACGTTGATTTGATTTTCCTATTTAATAAAACTTTGTTTATTTCTGTAGTGTCTAAGGTCTATATGGTCATCATTGTCATCATAGTCAAAGGTTTTTTTTTCAGTTAATAGGGATCGGCTACATGAATCCTGGTCTTGTATTCTGTTTTAATAAGATCTTTCAACTTTAGTGACGCAATAAGTCCCTATATCTTTTTTCCTTACTTCCAATCATGTCTTTTTGGGCCTACTTTTTGTCCTATTTGAGTCTCTAAACTCCTTATGATACTATTCTTTTTACTACAGAGGCTATTTAATTTCAAGATCATATAGATGAACGAGGCACATCACTTTGGAATAGGCTTAAATTGAATGGTGGTCTAGAATGCCTGATCAAATTATAGAGATGGCCTTTGTTATCATTTAATAAAAATTAATGGTCTGTTGTCCCCATAATTAAATTGTAGATAGTGGTCCAATTGATAAAGATGGCCTCTGGTCCCATAATAAAATTATACGTCTGGTCTTGCAGCCAAAACACCACAGAAGGTGATCTGTTAGACCCTTAAACTGTGAAATCCTTTTTATTAAAATATAAGATAACTACAAAGAAGAAAATGTTCTGTGCTCCGAATATGCTCTAAATCCATTAGCTCTCCGAGATTGACGTAGGATGGTCCAGTTTACGGATGATTGGCTTAAATTTGTTAAGAACTGATAATCACATTTTTTTCATTTGAGATTTGAAATTGATCACAAGTTGATGTTATCTTAGGTCATAAAAATCATACGAACTATGGGCGGCAGGACTCATAGGATTTGGTTATGTGGGACCACCATATGGCTCTCCTAGATTGATTCAACCCAAATGTCCAAAAAGGCCATCAGCTAGCCCACTTGGCTCTGGTAAGACTGAATAGAATAGATATCCAAGATCCATGTTAGCTTTTTTTTTCCCTACTTGACTTAGAAAAATTTTGTTGTTGTTCTCCAACACCTTACCAGCCATTTCGATCTTCATTGACGTTTTGGTATAGCTCCCAATAGGTTGGGCCTGGTCAGGCCAGCCCGGCCCTAATCTCTAAGGGGCCATCCCTGACTTGGCTGAAGAGGCCTTGGCTTTAGCCGATCTCTAGCCCCGTCAGGGCTAGGACAGGCTGGGCTGGGGGCAAATTTAATCCAAGAAGAAGAAAGAATAAGAAAAAAAGGTTTCGGACGGGCTGGCTCCGTAGTGGCCCTACCCCATGCGCTGCCTTTAGGCTATGGTGGCTCGGGCATAGCTTGGCCCTCGCTCCACATCTTGTGTGCACAGACTCTTGTTTCTTAGGGCGGGGGACGGGTCGTCGAGCCCATTGCACCCCCACATTTTTGGGAATGCAGTAGAAGGAAAGAAATGTAATAATATCTTGCTTTTGGCCTCAAAGTCGTGCATAAGGAGGACCTCAAGCGACTTATTTTTCTTGAGACGCAAGAGGACAGCAACTTCTTTCTCCACAACTTTGAAAAGTGGCCTAGCCGAAGAAAATAATGGGGAAAATACTTTAACTCGAACAATGTCGATGGAAATGGAATAAATTCTGACTAACCAAGCCAAATCTAGGGCATGCAACTCATCTCTATTAGAGTTTATCAAAAACAATAATTCAAACCTCCAAAACTAAAGAAGCACCCCTTTAAATATGTATTTATAGTCATCAAGGCCAGTGGAATCGAAGATTTAACCATTGGGGATTGAAATAAGTCCATTTCTCAGATAAAATCCAATCTTGGATTTTTTTTTTTTTGGGCCCCAATTTTCTCTATGTATGTGCCTAAAAATAAACAAAGATACCAAAGGATTTTTCAAAGGTGA